CGGTGAGCGCCGTCCCCGGTGCCGCCGCAGGTGCTGCTGCACGTGCTGTTCGAACATGCGGCCGGGTACGCGCTGTTCGCCGTGCGGGAGGTGGAGGAGATCGGGCTGCAGCTGCCGCAGGTACGGGGCGGGAGCGGGGACAGCGGGAGAGAGGGAACGGAGCGGGGAGCGCGGGGAACGGGAATGAGAACGGGAACAGGAGCGAGAAGGGGGGCGGGGAGGAATGGAAGCGGCGTATAACGGGAGCGGCGTATAACGGGAGCGGTGTGTAACGGGAGCGGTGTGTAACGGGAGCGGTGTGTAACGGGAGCGGTGTGTAACGGGAGCGGTGTGTAACAGGAACGGACAGCGGGGGGGCCGGGAACGGGAGGGAGTGGATCGGGACTGGGGGAACCCGCGGGGAGGAGCCGACCCCGTGCGGGGGGAGCGGTCCGTGCGCCCGGGGGTCGCACCCGGGGCGTTCCCGCCTCCCAAATGACCCGGTGCCCGGCCCCCCGGGCCCTGGCCGCGTCCCCCTGCCCAGGTGGAGGACAGCGTCCTCACGATCGGCAAGTTCCACAACATGGTGAAGCTCGTGGCGTTCTCGCCGTTCCGGTCGGCGCAGAGCGCCCTGGAGAACATGAACGCCGTGTCCGAGGGTGAGTCGGGGTCTGGGGGGCACAGGGACACTCCCGCGGCCCCCCCTGACCTCCCGATGTCCTGCAGGGGTCCTGCACGAGGACCTGCGGCTGCTGCTGGACACGGCACTGCCCCCCAAGAGGAAGAAGGTGGTGCTGGGGGTGGGCGACGCCAAGATGGGGGCGGCCGTGCAGGAGGAGCTGGGGGTGCAGTGCCAGACCGGGGGCGTCGTGGCTGAGCTCATGCGGGGTGAGTGGGGACGGGGGACACCCCGGGGGGGCTACCGTGGGGCTGGGGGGGCCATCGGGGGTGTGCTGGGGGCTGTCCCTGGGCCTGGCCCTGAGCCGCGCACAGTGACACCTCTGTCACTGTGTGGTGGCACCTCTGCTCCCTCCCTGCCCCCATGTGATGAGCCCTCTGTCCCCCACGTGGTGACACCTGTGACACCCCTCTCCCCTGCATGGTGTCATCCCTGTCCCCCCACGGTGACCCCTTTTCCCTGCGTGGTGATGTCTGGGTCTTGGATGGTGATAGCTCAGTTCCCACATTGTGTGACCCCTGGCCCCCCTGGTGACCCCTGACCCCCCTGGTGACCCCTGGTCCCCCTGTCTCCCCGCTGTCCCGCAGGGATCCGGCTGCACTTCCCGGCGCTGGTGCGGGGCCTCACGGCGCAGTCGGCGGCCAAGGCCCAGCTGGGGCTCGGCCACAGCTACTCCCGGGCCAAGGTGAAGTTCAACGTGCACCGTGTGGACAACATGATCATCCAGTCCATCAGCCTGCTGGACCAGCTGGACAAGGACATCAACACCTTCTCCATGCGCGTCCGGTGAGCGGGGAGGGGTTTGGGGGCTCTGGGGGTCCCGTCTCCCCTCGCTTACCACAGGCAGCTGCTGCTCCAGCTGCCTGTACAGACCGGGGAGCAACAGCACAGCCCCCGGGGCCACCGACCGGGCCACGGGCCATGGCGGGGACCTGGGGGGACACAGGGACATGGCGGGGACATGAGGGGACACAGGGACATGGGGGGAGGGCATGGGGGGACACAGGGTCATGGCGGGGACCTGGGGGGACACAGGACCTTGGGGGGCTGTGGGTCCGGGTGTGAGTGCTGAGCCCGTCCCTGTCCCGCAGGGAGTGGTATGGGTACCACTTCCCCGAGCTGATCAAGATCGTCCCTGAGAACTCCATGTACTGCCGGGTGGCCAAATTCATCGGGAACCGGCGGGAGCTGAGCGAGGAGAGCCTGGAGGGGCTGGAGGAGATCGTCATGGACAGCGCCAAGGCCCAGGCCATCCTGGAGGCCTCGCGCTCCTCCATGGGTGAGAGGGGCTCTGGGGGGGCACGGGGTGGTCACGGCTGTGGGTTCAGTGCTGCCACTCCCCCTGTCCCCCCCCCCCAGGGATGGACATCTCCCCCCTGGACCTCATCAACATCGAGAGCTTCTCGCGCCGCGTGATCTCGCTGTCCGAGTACCGGCGGGGGCTGCAGGAGTACCTGCGCTCCAAGATGAGCCAGGTGGCCCCCAGCCTGTCCGCCCTCATAGGGGAGGTGGTGAGTGTCCCTGGGACCCCCGGGACCCCTCGGCCACGGAGATGATGTCAGAGTGAATCTGTCAATCCACTGAGCAGAGCTGCTGACACCTCACCGCTGATCCCTGGCCTGGGGGGGCTCTGTGTGCCCTGGGGTGGGCTGTGTGACCTGAGGGGGACTCTGGGTGGCCTGGAGGGGAGGAGGGGGGTCTGTGGGGAGCTGCGTGTGTGCCCTGGGTGCTCTGTGTGTGTCCCTGGATTGTCTCTGTGTTCTGTGGTGGGCTCTGCGTGTGTGTGTGCCCTGGGTGGTCTGTGCATGCCCTGGGTGCTCTGTGTGTGTCCCTGGATTGTCTCTGTGTCCTCTGGTGTGCTCTGTGTGTGTGTGGGTGCTCTGTGTGTGCCCTGTGGGGCTGTGGCACCCATAACCCCCTGTGGTGCCCCCCAGGTGGGTGCCCGGCTCATCTCTCACGCCGGCAGCCTGACGAACCTGGCCAAGTACCCGGCGTCGACGGTGCAGATCCTGGGGGCCGAGAAGGCCCTGTTCAGGTACCGCCGGGTGGTCGCGGTGATGGCGGGGCCGGGGCCGCGGCTGTGACGCGCCGGGGCTGGCGGGGGTGAGCAGCCAGGCCCAGTCTGAGCGACCACCGTGGCTGCGGGGCCAGCCCAGGGCTCCCCGAGGTCAGCGGGGCTGGGGGGGCCAAGGGAGGGGAGGGGGCTGACAGAAGGGTCTGTCCCACGGGCACAGCCGGTGCTGCTGGCAGAGGGGGTGAGTGGGGGCTCCATCTGGGGGTCCCTGACGCCCCCGGCCCCTCGCAGGGCTCTGAAGACACGCGGGAACACCCCCAAGTACGGGCTCATCTTCCACTCCACCTTCATCGGGAGAGCGGCCGCCAAGAACAAGGGGCGCATCTCGCGGTACCTGGCCAACAAGTGCACCATCGCCTCCCGCATCGACTGCTTCTCGGGTGGGTTGGGGGGCACGGGGGGCACGGGGGGTGGGACAGACCTGCCAACAAGGGCACCATCGCCTCCCGCATCGACTGCTTCTCGGGTGGGTCAGGGGGCACAGGGGACACTGTCACCTCCTGCATCGACTGCTTCTCAGGGGGTATGGGGGGACATGGGGGGGCACTGTCACCTCCTGCATCAACTGCTTCTCGGTGGCACAGCCGGGGTCAGGGTCGGGGTCGGGTTCGGGGCCGCTCTGCCGTGATGGGACCATTTTTCGTCAGCAGCATCTCACACCCGTGTGAATGGTGACTCCGTTGGGCTGAGCAGAGCCGGGGGGTGCAGGGGGCCTGGGGGTTTCGGGGTGCAGGAGGGGGCTGACCCTGTCCCCTCCCCTCCCGCAGAGGTCCCCACCAGTGTGTTCGGGGACAAGCTGCGGGAGCAGGTGGAGGAGCGTTTGGCCTTCTACGAGACTGGGGAGCCCCCCAGGAAGAACCTGGAGGTGATGAAGGAGGCCGTGGTGGAGGTGAGCAGGTGTTGGGGGGCCATGGAGGGCAGGTGGAGGTGCTGGGGATGAAGAAGAGGGGTAGGAATGATGAGGGAGATGGTGGGGGTGAGGTACTGGGGGGAGGAAGAAGGTGGAGGTGAGACTGCAGGGAGGGGTGGAGGTGGTGGGGGGCTGCAGGGGGGGATGGACAGGGATGTGGAGAGGAAGTGCTGGGGGGATGGAGAGGGAGGTGAACGTGCTGGGGGATGGAGGAGGTGGTGATAAGGGTGAGGTGTGAAGATGATGGTGAGGGCCCGTGTCGGAGGTGATGTCACTGTGCCAACCTGACCCGCTGTGGAGGCAAAAGACTGATTTAATGAGTCTGATCCGACCAGTGCCGGGGGTGGAGGTGGGCCCTGGGACCCTCCCCACGCTGATGCCCCCCGTGTGTCCCCCAGGCCAACGAGGTGGTGGCTGAGGTGAAGAGGAGGCAGGAGAAGAAGGAGAAGAAGAAGAAGAAGCGGGAGAAGCGGCGGCTGGAGGCCCTGGCAGCGGCGGCCGAGGAGGCAAAGGAGGAGA